AAAAAAAAAAAAAAAAAAAAAAAAAAAAAACAAGACACTAAGTGTGATGCTAATGGAACTACCAAATTCTCTTGGCCAAGAACAAAGAGACGAAGAGTAAAGCAAGCACAGGCTGGCTTCCAGGAAGAAAGAATAGCCACTGCTAAAAATCTATAGGTTAAAAGGTAGACCACACTGAGGACATCAAAGAAACTCCTACTATAGAGCATCAAGGAGATTGGCCAGGGTGCTACAATGAAAAGAGATAGATGGGAAGATAGTGGTCATAACTGCTTAATATTTGATAGTTTCAATTCAGCAGCAAAACTAGCTAATGGATTTCATAATGTATTTAAGAAAATTTATTTTTTAAAAGACCCAAGAATATATCTCCAACTCGACACTATACCTTGGCCATTCTATCTTACTGAATTCCATACAGTATTTCTCACTTTTTTTAAAAAAACACTCTTTGCAAAAGTGGGACCCTTGAGTGCACAAAATAAAGATGGAAATGTTTCTCAAGTACAATACACATAAATTGTACTCTATTAACAAATTACTTTGTACAAGTTTTCTCATTTGTTGCCAGAAAATTGCAAATGAGCACTTCAGAATTCCTATATAGAAACCTGGATGTTCTGTAGAAGGAAAAAATTTTAAAACTTAGGCTGGATGGGTGTGGTGGTGTAAGCCTTTAAAATCCTAGCACACAGAAAGCTGAAGCAGGACTGTCACAACAATTCTGAGTTCATGGCCAGCATGGAGCTGAAGGGCAATCTGAACTACATAGTAAGACCCTGTTTCAAAACAAACAAACAAAAATTCTGTAGAGTTCTAAAGGGAATGATTATGCACAAAAATTATTTTTAGAATACCTGATACACAAACACGTCAGATTATTTATACCTAGAAATTTTATGTTCGTTTAATAAGCAATTATCATAGGCTAGGTGAGGTGCTGTCTGCCTGTAATCCCAACATTTGGGAGACTAAAGCAAAAAAATCTTTAATTCAGAGCTTGCCTGTACTACTTACAGTAAGTTCAAGGAGAACTTAACTCAAAAACATCACTTATTATAGCCAGTTTATAAAGTTTAGGTAAAATGTAGTCTTACATACTAAAAATAACTGTAAAAGAGTAGAAATATTTTATAAAATGAGTATGATACTACTTTCCTAACCTTTGTCCACCCAACACATGTACAAATAACAATGTTTTCAAAACACAAATACTGTAAATGTTTAGTATAAAAAGTTCTGATTATTGGGTGGGGGAGTCACCAAGGAATCATAAAAGAATAATTTTAACCCTTGAAATGTTATGATTTTTGTATTTTACATAAAATACATCGATCAATTTTAGTACTATAAAGCACCTTTTTTCCACAGTACTGGGAAATGGACTTAAATTTACTTCTTTATTAATCTGCCAAGCAGGACACTGGGGCCAGTGGATCCATCCCTTACATTTGTACTGTATATTTGTACTTTAGCGTAATAATAGCTGTCTGTGTATCTCTCTGAGATACAGGAAGCAATCTATGTTTACACATTTGGTACAATGAACAGTAGAGTATGTAAGCAAGGTAAGTGTGTACATGCAAAAGTGGTAAAACAGGATGTTTACTCATGTTATGCTCCATCTAACTGGTTTTGCATATGTTTAAGCATCACAGAGGATCCAATAGACCCACACCAATGCAGGATTTGTTTAAAAAAAGTTTTTTGATTTTTCTAGTAGAAGTAGCCCAATTCAGTATTATAACAAGAAAAAACAGATTTGCAAGTTTTAGAGGTCAAAAGTGAATCATCAGAAAACAGCAATGAGAGTACATATTTGACTAGTCATAATGCTGCAAAATGGCCAATGGAATGACCCAACATTAGAACTAGATCTGAAAATATAGTGAAGGTCTTGGCAGGGGTGAAATGTATTGGACAGAATGCCAGCCATGCCATTCTATGCTGGAAATTGTAACAGATGAAATGCTACAAGATGGTATGAAATACACAAAAGCTGAATTGCAAGTAAACATTCTGTATGCACCAATAGCCATATTAAAAATGTATTTATTATGATGCCTCACTCGCTGAACTGAAAACATTCATAGGTCTGCTGTACTCAGCAGGCATTTCTCATGGTAATCGCAGGAATGTAGTAAAAAGAATTATAGAAAGGCCGCAGGTCAAGATATGGCATAAAAATTGATGCACTATAGATGCAAAGACTTAGTATGCTTTCAGTTCAGACATTTATCCTGGAACCCAGCCATCAGTACAGCAATAAACCAAATGATGTTATAAACAAACATTGCTTCTGTCTCTCAGAATAATCAGAATGTGACATTTGACAACTGGTTTACCAGTTTCCAATTGATGTTATATTTGCTAAGAGTACACGTTGATAAGCACAGGAACTGTGCGTAGGAACAAAGCAGAAATTCCAAATGAAGTGAGATTTTAAAACAGAAAACTGCATATTACAATTTTTGACTTCAGAAAGATTTACACTGGCCTCATATATGACAAAGAAAAACAAACTAGCACTGCTGATAAAAACAACATTGCGCCATGACGGAAAATACAGAGAAACCTCAACAAAACAGAAGCCTGAGATGGAAATTTTCTACAACAAAACCAAAGGTGGAGAAGATGTTGATGAACTATGCTGCAACTATCATGTCACTCAAAACACAAAGAATTGGCCAGTTGTTGTGCTGTACTCAATCTTAAAACATGTGGCATGAATAGTTTGATAGTTTACAAAAAAATTAACAAGTACAAAATATCATGGAGAAATTTCCTTAGAGGAACGGGACTGGAATTCATAAGAGATCATTTACAACAGAACAAAGACAAAATGTTTCTGTCCAGGGAACTACACTAAAAAACTGCGGTGCAACCTAGTACGCTGACAGATGACAAGGCAGGCAAGGAAGGTGCAGCATCACAAAGCCCTATGACAACAGGAAAACCAAAAAGATGTCAACTGTACTCTTTAAGAAAGGACAAGAAAACGTAACATACGTACTATCAGTGTAAATGATACTTATATATGGAACATGCAGCTGTCATGTGTGAAGACTGCCTTGCATGTGACAGTTGAAGCAAAGATTACTTCTGAGGTAGACTTTTGTGTTTACACTGTAGTTCACATAGGTTTTTATTTCTGATCTTTAAGGTTTTGTAACCAAGTACACAGATGCTGTTGATGTGTATTCTAAACACAATACATACTAAGATTTTAATACTTTATTTTACTGAGATTTGTGTTCCTTTGAACTATATACCGTATAAGAAACTCTGACAAAACAGCAGGACCAATGGGCCGGGGATTTAGCTCAGTGGTTCCATCGCCTGCTGTGCAAGCACAGAACCGAGTTCAATCCCCGGTACCAAAAAAAAAAAAAAAAAAAAAAAAAAAAATACAGCAGGACCAGTGAGATGTCAAGTATGTCCTACAAAAAGGCCAGCAAAGCAAAACATGTGTTGTCAGTGTAAAGGATGTGTGTAACATGCTGTTGTCATGTGTGCAGACTGCCTTAGGTGTGAAAATTAAAGATTATTTTTTTGTAAACTATTGGCATTCTTATTGTAGTTCATACAAGAATTTGTGTTGTCCTCTTTTTTAAGACTGTACATCAAAAAAGTTGATGTTGAAAATTTTGATGCTGTTTTTATAAACACTCAATAAATGTTAAAAATTCAACTTTATTTTTGTGATTTTTTCCTGTTAAGTACTCATTTTTTAATGTAATAAAACTCACAAAATTAAAAATATGTCAATAGACTCATTCTAAAATTGCACCTTTATGACAAAATTAGTGTTATGCTCCACGGGTTAATATTTTGACACAGGATCATAATAAGTCCACAAATTGGCCAAGCTAGGATCGAACTATCCTCTTGCCTCAGCCTCCCAGAACACTGAAATTATGGGCATGCACCACCAGGTCAAGCTTACAAGGCATCTTAATTCATACTTACATAGTTTCAATGTTACAAAAGAAGCATTGTTAAATATTTTTTTCATATGTGTATATTATGTTTAAAAACCACTCACCTTCTCCAATTTTCTCTATTTTGGTGTAGTCTTCCATAGTTATTCAACAGGTATGATAGATCCTAAAACAAGAGGAAAAACTGATTTGAATAGATGCCATTAACTCAGGGTAGTTTTACATACTGAGATATAAAATATAAAGCATTTTCCACATTCCATATTGCCTTCTGCAGTACATATTATGCATTCCATAAATATTAATTATATATTGAAACATTTACAAGGATAAGGACTCCTACAGTAAGACTTTCTGATCTTTATTAGCTCCCAAAACATTACATTTCTATATTCAATAATGTACTTAGCTTCTTTGAAATTAACTCTTAAATTCAGACATTTCCCCCCAGAGTTGTTTTTTTCGTAACAATGTGTGACAAAGTTATACACAAATATTTCAAGTGTTATTCAAATTTGTACTGCCTTATACTTTCAAAACAAATTTTTTAGCTATGAGAAGGGATGTAGTCAGACTGTTCAATCATTAGAAACAGGACTTTTGCTTAAAGCAGCAAGCATAATTAAGTACTGTATTTACAGTTTGTGAGTTTTAATCTGTTTTTAGCAGTCACAGACAAAACATGCTCCAGACTTTCAAAAGTGAAAAATGCCAGTAAGCATCCTAAAAGAACGAAATGTTCAATTCCACAGATATAAAATTTTAATTGTAACCTATACAATGAATCACAAACAATAGTTAAAGAAAAAAATCTAACAACCAGACCTTCAATACTTCTTGGGCTGGCTAAGTTTCCCAAGGACACTTAAGAAGCCCAGAGAGAATTATGTTGATTTTCCAGGGACAGGGATTTAGTTCAAAGGCACCCACGCCTGCCTGGTCAACGCAAGGTCCTGAGTTGATTCCCACTACCACAAAAAAAATCTAAGCCTTGATTTTCCAATCACTCATCGATAATAAAATCATTATAACTGAGTAAGTTAGGTGAATCTTAAGTTCTATTTCTTACATTCCTTTTCAAAGGGAAATAATCCAGAAAGCAGAGGGTTTTTTTGTTTTGAGGCAGGGTCTTACTATGTAGTTGAGACTGACCTGGAACTCACTACGTAGCCCAGGCTGGCCTCGAACTCAAGGCGATCCACTTGCCTCAGCCTCCCGAGGGCAGGAATTACTAGGCATGGGCCACCATGCCTGGCCAGAGATTCTTTTAAAATGAGCTCCGCCTGGGGTCTTTGGACAAGATGCCATGGGGATTGACTTAGGGGTTGGTCATAAGTGTTAATCTCAAGACTTTATAATTTTATGTAATGGCAAATGGACATTAGGACAATTATCTTTTTCCTCAATAACCACATTTAATATACACAGTACAGTAAAACTGTTGAGCTCACTTGGAACAAATAACTAAAAATTAATTCAATTTCAAAGCATGACTCAATCTCCTCTCACCATTTTCCAGTTGTAATCATTTTAAATAGAGTTGCTGTTTTGGAATGCATTCTGGAGTCTCCCAAGGCTCTCTACCCTAATAGCCTAATGAAAACCTATGTTTTCTTCTGTTCCCAAAGACCTCACAAGTCGTCAGGGGGCGCAAGACGTGCACACAGGCAACTTCAGTATTAAGAGTTGGAGAGATGACTCCAGGATATCAGAGACATAAATGTTTCTCTCGGCCTTTCTTAGCTTTTCTGCTTCAAGCTACAACACCCAACAGGCAGGTATAAAGGAAGTCCCGGATTCCTCTGGCTCTGCGCCCAGGGCAAACGTCCCCATTTCGAAGCTCCGGGTGGGACAGGGCCGAGCCCGAAGAGGCGCCAGTCCTGGACCTGGGACTTGGGAAGCCAGGACGGCCTCGCCCGGCCCAGGTGGGTCTCGATTTCCTCCGCGCGCGGGAAGGAGGGGCTGGGGGCTGGGGCCTGGGGCCTGGGGCCGAGCAGCACTCCTCAGG